TTGAGGCAGAAAATAAAGAAGGCATTTCTCTATTAGCAAAATGCATTATTTCCATGCGAATGTTAGCGTATGGTGTTGCTGCTGAAGCGAACGACGAATATATCAAAATAAGAGGTACTACATCAATGGAGTGCTTACGTCGATTCTGTAAAGGAATCATATGGTTGTATGAGCAAGAGTATCTCAGAGCTCCAACTCAAGATGACTTGCAAAAAAATTTGCATGTCAGTGAGATGAGGGAGTTTCCACAGATGATCGGGAGTATTGATTGCATGCATTGGGAATGAAAAAAATTGTCCAACAGCATGGAATATCAGTTTACTCGGGAGATAAAGGAATCACCACGGTTATACTTGAAGCAATTGCATCTCATGATCTTTGGATTTGGCATGTATTTTTGGATGTCCGGGAACATTAAACGATATAAATGTTCTAGATCGTTTGCCGGTGTTTGATTATGTTGAACAAGGTAATACTCCAAAGTGATTTTTTTTGTAAACCATCGTCCATATGATATGGCATACTATATAGCTGATGGTATCTATCCTTCGTATCCAACTTTCGTCAAATGAATATGACTTCCTCAAAGTGAACCATACAAGTTATTTGCAAAATATTAAGAAGGGTGCCGGAAGGACATTGAGTGTGCATTTGGAGTGTTACAGGCTCGATTTAAAATCATTCGTGAACCAGCTCGCATGTGGGAGATATCGGATCTGGCTATTATCATGCGGTCATGTATCATATTGCATATTATGATTATTGAGGATGAACGAGATACATATGCGTAGCACTAGACCGATTATGATCAATCTGAGGCAAGTAATTCGAGTACACCACAACCATTTTCTACTGAGGTGCTACCAGCATTTGCAGATCATGTGCGTGCTAGATCTGAATTACGTGATTCAAATGTACATCATGAATTCCAATCAGATCTAGTCAAACACATATGGGAAAAATTTGGAATGTTTGATGGTTAAAAAAATTCTAAATTTATGTGTGTGTTTTAAGAGTTTTATTTTTTGTGAACTGAGTCTATTGTGTTAATTAAGTTATGTATTTTTAATTTGTGTGATTTTTATCGTGTGTGTTTAATTTTTTTTAATAATATGTGTTTGTATCGTGGGTATTTAAAGTTTCTTAATTTTAGTTGTTTTGACAATATTAAGTTTCGTATTTTTGAAAATAAAGTTAGATAAATATCTAACTTAAAATAAATATGTTTTTAATTAAATATTTTATTATTGATTTTGGTATTATTTAAAAATATTTTTTATTAAAATAAGTTTTATTAAAGCTAATGTTTTTAGTTTTAAGTTAAGTATTATTATGTAACTTTTATGTTGTAAAACATAAGAATTAAAAGTTGTGGGGTAGGGTGTTGAATTTTTAAAAATAAACCATCGTAGATGTTTGAAATGAAGTGAGTATTGAATAAATTAGGTGGAAAAGAGAATAAATAATGTGGAATGTTATAAGGGGAAAATAAGGGTGTTGAAACCATTGTACATGGTCTAACACTTCCTAAGAGAAGACACAAGAAGAGCACATGAATGCATTTGTATCTGCTTTATTTTTCAGAACCAAATCTCCCATCCAACGGCTTTTACATGCATAGCAAATCGGCTGAGACAGACTGTCGCTGGGAAGCAATTCAAATGTTCCTTTGCCAGGTTTGGGTGTAATAGATTTTTAAATACGCATTTAGTATGAAGAGTGGAGTTACAATTACTACACCATTAAAACCCTCTCTTGGGGTACACTTCCACTTCACATACCCTGTTATATGCTGAATTCATAATTTCCACACCAAAGCATAAGGAGAGAGGATGGTCGTCATATTTGTGTCATACCAATGTAGGTAGAGTAGCGCATGAGAAGCATAAATTGAAGCCTCCACAAGTATCATGTTATGCAATGTAGATGCATCCAATTTACCGAGTCACAAACTGTACACATCTTGTGTTGCGCATCAGATTTAAATAGAAACAACCAATGTGGGTGGCTTTCATGTTTAAATGATTCTGATTCACTGTTATTAAACTGATTTTATCTGAAAACTGGATTTAATCGATAAATAAAGTTTAATTTTTATTTATAAATTAATTTCAATTTACAAACTTATCTTTTATTTAATTTTTAATTATTAATTTTGATTTTATTTTTAATTAATAATTACATTTTTTATTAAATCAATAATAGCCAATTATAATATAGAATTTACAACACTAAAAATAAATCTTGAAAAAATATATTATAACACGGATCAAATGCAGTACCTTGATGAGAAGGTATAGTATCCACAAGAAATTAAGAGATTGTTCACTTTCATTTTTTTGGTTGATATATGTTTCAGATTGTCTCTCATCACACTGCAATGAATTATATAAGTCAAAGAAGGCAAATAAGAAGTTTGATGTCAAGGTGTTCCAAAGACGAGTCTGACTACGGACAAAAAAATAAGCGTACAAGTGGATTTCTTTTTATGAAACATAATTTTAAGAAGAAAACATCAAAAAGAAACATAAGAATTTTATGTGATTATTTTTCTATATTATAGGTTCAAGATAGATAACAGTGGCCTTAAAAATGAAGAAGACGAGCCTACTGTTAGAGTTGTTAGCCTTGGCCACACATTCCATGTCAGACTAAATACTATGTTTCTATCTTACTAAATTTTCATTTTGACATTTTTTTCACACAAATCAAAATATAATTGAATTCATGTTAATCTCCAATAATTACATCTGTTTAACTAATATTCATTGAGATATTAAAGTATTTTTAAGATAACAATAATTTTTTTACAACAAATGTTAAATAGGTATAACCTTTAAAATTATATTGAAATTATAAAATGACACAATTTGTGTAATAAGAAGAAAAATTTCAAACAATGTCATTTATAAAACCAAATTTACATACACATATAAATTGAATATAAGCATAAAATAAGGTTCAAACATAATTTAAATCTTTAAAATTATCAAGGAATTCAAAAGAAAAATAAGAGCCAAGTTCTATATATGAATTAGAACTACACCTTCTATATGTAGCTCAAAATATAATAATCATTCGTGTTGTTTTTGTATTCTAAACTCAGTTTTGGTATTTTAGTAAATTAATTTAAAAATTTATTACAAAAATGCAAGAACAAAACTATATCATAAACAATACATATAATAAATATGGATTATTTTATATTCACACAAGAAAATTAATTATGAATTTTTAAAAGTAATTATCCACTAGATGATAGCCCGCGCGCATGCGCGGGGTGAAAGTTTTATACCAATACTTATTCATTCAATGGTATTTAACATTTTGTAATACTACAGTATTTATCGATTATAAAATGATGAATACAAATGTTGGTATCTTAAATCATCATAGGTCTGGACGTTTGAGACTTCGTCGGTTTTGGTTTGATTGAGACGTATTTTCAGATTTTGGTATTATTCTCATAAATCCTATTTGAATTTTACTAATTATCGGATTGGATTCGATTTGGTCTTCTCAATTCAGATTAGATTGGATTGTAACCAATATATGAAATCATCCAAAAAAATATTTTTAAACATTAAAAGTTGACAAAAAAAATCAAAATATTTAAAATATTAATAAATCTAATTTAAAATTAGTTAAATTATCTAAACAAACTAAAAGATATTTAAAAAAGAAGCAAATAAAACAAACTACAAAAATCTTTCGAATACTATAATTTGTATCTACTAATCTCAAACCTTTTCACTGAAATTTTTAAATTAACATATTTATAATATGAATATCTACTACTGATACTTCATATTCGTACGATTTATGATAATTTGTATCTTGTTTGAAAAAAAAACAAAGTTAAACCATTGATCATAAAATTTTCAATGTGGGATTTTACTATTATTAGTTATTTATGGTTGTTTTAAAAAATTAAAAATATAACCTATAAGAAAAAAATTAATTTTTTATTATATATTTAATGTGATTGTTTAATTTATTTTAATAATTTAAATTAAACAAAAAAGAGAGAGGACACAAAAATATGTATTATTCATAATCATTAATTACATATATATGTTAATCATATTAGGTAATTCCGTAGCTTTTATTTAAGGAAAGAAAATATATTGTTTTATACCTAACATAATTGGTCCCATAAAAAATGTCTATATATTATAGTCCTAAATGCAAGAAATTAAATGTTACATTATTTCATTCCTAGCAAAGTTGGTCCATTAAAAGATTAAGGCTGAGAAGCTCTGTGAGCTTGACACGTAAGCATGCTCTCCAAGGTTGTGCATAAATGAATGCTTCAGGATTAATATATAGGGGATACGTAGCATGGAAAAACGATCTAGTATATATAATAAATATATAATTTCTAATATAATAAACAATTTTAATAGTACCATTTGTAACTTGCTCCTTACTCAAATAATTGGGGGAGCCAATACATATACTGATGAAAGCTTAGCTAAATTCCAGAAGCGGTCATTTTCCAGCTGCTAGACTCGGTTTTATTGTGAAGGGATTGAGAGCTAGAACATGTGAATTTTGATTTGTACGAACTTTTAGCTTCTCTGTTGGGTTTGTTTCCAATGGAGACATATTGCTTAACCTTTTGAAATTACTGGTGAAACTGGTTGTGAAACCAGACATATTGCTTAACCGGATTGTTTGTGTGTTTTTACATTTTCGGTTAGAATGTTACCGGATGATTTAGCAATGATAGTACACCTTGCTCGAAAGAAGATCCAAACGATAGACCAAACTTCACAGATATTATTCATCTGCTCTGATGCTACCTCTCCACGATCTCAGCACCTGAGCTTGTTCCTCCGTCAATCAAACGCGTTTTCTTATCAGAGAACACCGTGTTGCCACCAGAATCGCCGGGAACTTGCTCATTGATGACTGTTAGAGACGGAGATCAGAGTACTACAGACACAAACTTGTCAGAGAAAGAAGAAGGTAGATGAAGCTTCTTCTTCTGCTGCTAATTTAGATGATAATTGTTTTATTGGTTATAAAGGGAGTTGAGAGACTGGTTTGCAAAAACTGTTCTTATGATCAACAATACATATGATCTAATACCAAACATAGACTTAGATTGTATACCAACCAACGAACGTTGGATCATGCATCTTAGTATCTCTTTGGACAAAACCTGACCTGGATTTTGCACTTGGACGAAGCTCTTGGAAGCATTAGCAGATCCGCCATGATTTGCAGCCTTGCGTCACTTGATCCCGCCTGAGTACGAACCTCCACCAGCTCGAGACATGACAGCTTTCCCAAGAAATGCTTTATTTGCTCCAAATCGTTGAGAGAACCTTCGTAAGTGTTTATCTTTAGGACCTCCACCGAACAAGACAATAAGAAAGAATACTCTGACAGACAGTCACAAACCAACTCATCTCCAACGTGCAATTCCTTAAAAAAAACAAAATAATGAAAGCTTCGCAATTATAAGTTGCGCTCGATGATGAAAGTCTTTAGAGAGTCTTTAGCAAAGTAATTTCACTCATATTATATATACCTCGATGATGAGAGTCTTTAGATTTGGAAGTTTCTTCATCACAATCGTTAAAGAAAACCAACAGCGGCTAGAAAGGTCAACAGATAACTGAGATACCTTTTCAAACATTGGGATTGATTTATTCAAGAAATAAAACATCTGAAACATTAAACACAACAAAAAAATAGTCAGCTAATTCATCAAAATCATTTTGCAATAAAACATTCTTCTAAATATAAAACTTTACCTCCACAACTTCCTCAGTCAAGTTCAAAATCTCAACGTTTTTCAAACCATAAATCAGATTCATGGGATTGAAAGTATCTCCATGTTCGTGTTGCCAGAGACCTTCCTCATACACACAAAGATTGAGTTTAGCTTCAACAAGGGAATCGAGATTAACAATTAGATACTCCTTTGGAACAAAGTCAGAATACTCCAAATAGGTTAGAGCAGGAGTATCAAAGCTAATGTTGTCAAACTCATAAGCAAGACCCCTGGGATCATCTACAATGGGCTCCTCATAAGAATACCACTCTCTACGTCGAATCGTAAGCTTTTCAAGGGTCTTACTAGACACGATGGAGCACCATTTCCAGCGTTCGAACTCGATACCATCCATCACTAACTCCTCGAGAACAGGGGAGTGAGAAAGAAGCGTTTTAAACGAGCAGAAACGACCATCAGAACCATGAAACCGAACAGAGTCAAGAAACAGAGACTTGAGAGATGGAAGAGAAACATGCGCAGGGAGAAGTTCGACCACAAAACCAGACCCTAGTTTCAACGTAGTGACTGTCTTGCAGGTGAAAACATCAAGAGGCAGGGAATAACGATGTCCTTTTCTGGCGAGTTTGATGTGATTGTGGAGTTCGAGAACTAAAACACCACGGTTCAGTATATGACGGAGACAACGGTTGATAAGGTCTTCGTACTGCGGCACATGTTTGCATTTGAGTGAAAATGTTCCAACACGAGAGCTGACAGGTAGGGCCAGTACTCCATCCACGAACTCCTTGAAACTGTTAGTTTTAATTGAACCATCGAAATGAAGCTTTGGTATGATAGTGAAGAGATTACGCCACCGTTTTGAGAGAAGAGTGGCGAAAGCAGCTTCTTTTGCAGAGAGAAAGGAGCCAATGTGGTGGATAATATCATCTGGTAGATTACTGATTCTATCCATAACTCTTTTTCACTACTAAGAATCTAAAACTCAATTCACTGGGTAGGGTAGACTCTAAATCAACTACAAACGAAGCAGAAAACGAGAGTCACTCACTCACGCGAACATAAGAGTTCAAGAGATTGATTTGTAAACGGACGGCTATGAAGAATCTGATCAACTGTGAACCGAGATTTCCATCTTCGAAGCCAACTTTTAAGCAGAGGTGAAGCAATCTTCAAAAAGCCCTAAAATGTATCACAGGAAAATATATTGACTTTAGAAAAAAAAAAATTAAAAAAGATGCGCCGTTGCCGGGCATCGAACCCGGGTCACCCGCGTGACAGGCGGGAATACTTACCACTATACTACAACGACTCTAATGGTATCTCCCACAGTTTTATTATATTTAATCAACCATTAATATTAACGAGTCAATATTTTTTTGGTTGCTAGTAATTTGTATCCATCTTCAGAAGAAACTGTGGTGCTTAATCTCTTTTCGTGTGAGTATTAAACTATTCAATCTCCATTTTTTTTTGGAAAGAATGTAAAATTTATTCAAATAAAAATTATTGTTACAGTTAGATCATTATGATACACATTTGATTAAGGAAACCTTCGTGTGATTATAGGATTTAATATTCTTCAAAGAGAATAAAATTAGCAGGAAATGGAAACTCAAAATCAGGCAAAAATAAATTCGCAGGATACGATTGTGATTTTTCACCGATGGTTCTTGTATATAAATTCAGATTGCTATTCCTTGCAATGATCGCAATAGTCTTGTCTCATTGGTCCTTGATCTTTTTTTGTTTCCTGGGTTGGTTCATCTTCGGTTATAGTACGGTTATTTCGGTTTGTTACAATGGCGCAGATTGGAGGAAACAATGTAAAACCCTTGAGGAAAATCCAAGTTCCATGTTTTGATAACTCTGATTTGATCAGACGTTTGAACAAAACTCTCATCGGTAGGATTATGAATCCTGAGACTCAAAATGTCGGATCAGTAGTTTCGGTGATGCCTAAAATCTGGAAACTAGATGCTGATCAAGTAACTGGTTCGGTTTTTGATTTGGGATTGTTCCGGTTTGATTTCCAAAGAGAAGAAGATATTCTTGAAGTGGTCAAAACCGAGCCTTTCAATTTTAATCAATGGATGGTTTCGATTGTTAGATGGAAACCGACTGTACACAAAAGCTACCCACCTGAGATAACGTTTTGGGCCAGGCTTGTTGGTGTTCCCATGCATTGGTCGGAAGATCGGGTTTTGAGGAGAATAGGGGACGAGCTTGGTACGGTTCGAGAAGTTGATGAAGTCAATGCTATGGTTAAAGTGACTGTCGACGGTACTAAGCCGTTGTGCTTTGAAATATCGGTTCGGTTCGAAACCAGTGGTGAGGAGGTGGATTTGAAGGTGGAGTATGAGAAGCTTTTTGGTTTTTGTGCGACATGTTTTCGTCTTTCTCATGACAAAGAATCGTGCCCTGAAAGCGACTTGCGCAAAGATGTGGAGGAAGAGAAAGATTTGAAGATGCATGCATCTATTTGCATGAACGATTGAACCACGCAAACCATCAAAAGATTGGCAAACCGGCTCATCAACCCGAACCGGAAACAGATGAATTAAGAAAATCGTCATTTTCTCTTTTAAATCCCATATATATTAAAAGAGAAACATTTGAAAAATTGTAACCTCAATTTTGTAATAATTAAAAAAAATCTCATACTTAGGTGTCATTCAATTAGGTAGTCAATTACATTCAATTGAAAATTAAGTAGGTCCACATTGGATTTTTATATGTCGCTAGATATATTAGTTAGTCAAACTATATGATATGATGATATGATATGATATTTACGATAGAAGCATTTATGATTGTTTCCTTAGATATAATTACTATTTAATTTTCTTTCCTTAAATAAAACCTACGGAATTACCATAAATGACTAATATATATATGATAATTAATGATTCTAATAATAAATATTTGATAACAATTTATGTCTCCTCCATCATATTTTCTTTAATTTTATATTATTAAAATAAATTAAACAATCAAATTAGTTATAAAACTAAACTTTAGATTTTTTTCGTATATATTATATTTTAAATTTTACAAAACGAGAATAAATGACTAAAACTATGAAAATTCTTATGATAAAAATTAATGATCAATAGTTTAACATTTTTATTATAAAAAGATACACATGAAACCATATGAGTAAAAAGTATCATTCAATAATAAAGCAAATATATATATATAGATTAAACTATATACCATATAAGATTATATAAATATTTTAATTTCAAAAATTTCAATGAATTTTCAAGAACATTTATAAATTATAAACTTATTTAATTCACACTGAAATTTTTTTGTTATCAATGAGTTAAATATCTTAGCTCTTTTTTTTTAATTTTATATTATTACAAATATTAAACAATCCATAATATGTTTTTTTGGTATATATCATACTAACCGAATGGATGTGATTTTATAAAAACTGTAGGATTTGGATATGGTTTAATTTATAATCGATTAAACTGAAACATATAAATATCTATAAATTTATAACGCCGCATAAATATCTATTTGTTATATGAGTTGAACTATAATTACAATTTGTAAATCACTTGAATCACTTGAACTATAATTAACTAACAGTTTACTGCAACTGAGGCTTCTTACTTTTTTAATCTTTTTTTGATCTTTTTGCTTTATTTTAACAGTAATTAAATCGAAGTAAATATTATAAATTTGATGAACAACAATTAGTTGAAATTCTTTATAATTTTTTTTATCTTTAAACAAACAGAGTTGTGTTCAATCGAAGATATATTAATTTGATGAACACTAAATATGGAAGAATATAAAAACTTTTCTCTCATTATGTTTTGTTTTTTATTTTTATTTTCAAAATTTAGAACTTTGATATTAATTCCAGATTTCATCATTTTATTAGATGATAGAAGCTTTTTGTTCTTTTATTTAAATATATAATATTTTTTTAATAAATGATTTTTTGACAATATGATTCTAAATATAATCATATTATATATTTGTATAATATATAATATGATCTCCAAATAAATAATTATGTTTTTTGGTATAAAACTGAATAAACTGAAAACCGATGGTATATAAACCAAATTGGATTTAAAATAGTAGTTATATTTTAATAAACAAAATTCCAAAAAATCAAACCGAACTAAAACCCGATATCCAAATGAACCGAACTATTGTTTTATTTTTGAAAACATAATAAAAATAACAATTTCATCCCGCGCAAAGCACGGATCTTATCCTAGTCTTTAGTATTTTTAATGATAACGAGAGTTTATGGTCACCCATCTCTCGAATTTTCATATTTCCCTTTGCTTGAAGGAATTACAATTCTATTTTCTTTTCTTTTGTATTGTTTCCTATTTGAAGAAATAAAATATAATTAGTCTAGTCTGCCATTTACAATTGGTGTGTTCTAATTATTATTATATATCAAGCTCTTAACTTCACATCAATGATTTACTAAATATTGAATAAAAATCATCCGCATGTTAGATAGTGTTCTACATTCTAAATTGTAGATATAAGTTTATGGAAAACATATCAGCATGACGTTCCATGGTCAAGGCCTCAAGAGATTGGTGAGATTTGTGGTTGGTTTCACGTGGAAGGTCAAAAACATGACTTATGCAAGAGGTAAATTACAATCTGGATGACTTGGTGCATTTGAAAGCTGCACCAATCAGATCAGAGTCGCAATCCGAGCACGTGATTTCGTGTTTCACAATGATTGGTTGACTAGGATGCTTGTCGAGAAGACATTGTAACTTTGAATCAAAACTTCATCTCGTAGATTCTTTGTTCAAGACAGACGAAAAGTTTTTTTTCAAATCACTGTACTCAACCACAACCTCGGATCTTTCTAGTTAAAATACTAAGAAAACGAAGTTGATAATACCTAACTTTTCTTCTCCTTGTCATTTCCGAACATTCTCACAACTTTGGGACAAGGGATAAAAGAGTATGTGATATGTACCTGTACTACTACTTAGTTTGCTAATTTCCGGGCACTTTTCACTGCGGCCACATAGAAATGCAATCTCCAAAGCACTACGTTATCCTGAAACAAACATGTTTTCAAAGTGTTGTTATAATCATATGATTGGACCTTTGGACCAAGAAGTATATGTCAGATTTTTCTGATCACTTACTTCCTCCTCCAAGTTGACTGTAACCTCATCAGAAAATTCTTTCCCCGAAGCTACATAGTGGTCTTTGATGATTTTAGCAACGCGTTTTAGATTTCCTCCAGGAAGCTCCTTGATTGATTTCTGAAGATCTCGCTTCTCGTCTAGGCTCATAGGTCTGCCGACAAGACTTAACATACAATAGATAAGTAACCATTTGAAAAAGAATGTCAAAGAGGGAAGTGAGAGGTGAGAAAGGTAATAGACTTTGTTTTATACCTGCATGAAGTGGCGACATTGTCAAGGAGTTTCTCTGCTTGCTGCTGCATGTCGTTCAGCTAGTCAAAACAAAGAGAAAAGCATAAACTTTTTGCTACAGACAAGATATGAATGTTACACGAGCTAGAGATGTTACAGAAGAAGGAAAGTTGGTCTAGAGTATTACGCTGGCAAGTACATCATCCGTATGTTTCTTCACTATTTCCTTTAAAAGACTAGGATCAGACTTCAGAAGTAATTGTACATCCTCTTCCACCTAAATTAACAAATGTGAGAAACAAAAAGGACTTCATAAACACCTATCAGGAGAAGAATGCAAAAACCGTATCATCTTTCACCTCTTCATTAGTTACTGAGATTGATGGTTTTTTGTTACTCAATTGAGACATTAGGTGCATGCTGCGAGCACGAGACTGCATCTGCAAACAAATTCCAAAATATTAACGTCTCTCCATTGAAATCTAAAGGAGAGCATCATCAACAGCAAGTGTGATTTTTGGAAGAATTCAGTGTACCTACCTCATCAACCCCTGGAATGAGATCTCTCACGCACTGCCTTAACAAGGCATTCAACTTGTCTCTTTTTAGACTAGAGATCTCAGCTCCTATAATTTCGGTAGAAGGCTTCTTAGTGTCACCATCTTCATGATGAGGGATTTTCTCTTCTTGCGACAAGAGCTCTGCTATTTGATCTCTATAGCTACCCAAAAAGTTTGGTCCAGTTGTGTTGGCATCGATTGACGGAGGCGCTTCGTCTGCTGCTCTTTTGGTCATAGCTGAGGACAACAAATATCAGCACCAAACAAAGTTATATAACTCAAAGTCTCAGACAAACGTCACAAGAAGAAAAAAAGAAACTCATTCTGTTACCACGGGATAGCAGCACAACTGAAATTCCTAACCATGAAAGTCTAAATGAGAGTAGAGAGTCTTTTGATGAGAAGCAAGATTTTGCAGATTTATGATCCATGGACGAGGTTTTGAAAGATGAGACTGCCATGGAACTAACTTGTTATACTAAACCTACATTGTTCTTGGGTGTGGATCAAAACATAAACTAAGTAAATCAGTTGAATGGTTTCTTGGTCCTGAGATCAAGTGCATTAGTTCAATTCCTAAGAAGAACAAAAGCAAGAGATATATCAAACCTGGGGATGGACTTAAGAACCATGAAAGAATGAAGAAATGGTCCTGAGGGGAAAAAAAGAGGCACAGAAAGCGTAATGCAGTAACATTGTGACCATAAGAACCATTTATTGGTCCTGAGATCAACTACAGTGGTTCAAAATCTATGATATTCAATGGCTAAGCAAAACCAAAGTAAGAGAGAGATCATATCAAAATCATAGTTAGAAACTGGGGATAGACTCTTAAACGCCATGAAAGACTCCGACAAATTAAACGCTCAAATCCTATGGTCCTGAGGGTAAGGAAACGCACATAAAAGCCTAATGCAGTAGGATTTTCTTTTCACCATAACTTAGAGAGAAGATGCATGCATGATGCAACTTCATTAACTAAAGTGACACTACTCATCCGTCAATTTCACAAGCAAAACACACTCTATAACCTAAATAGATCAAAAATCCACCATGAAAACAACATTAGAATACAGAAACCGTTATCGATTCGAGCATCAGGAATCGATACATAACGAGACTAGATAAATCGATTTCTCAAATCGCCATTGACGAACAGCGAGGTTTATTGTCACGGATGCTGAGACGGAAGTAAAGAAGCGAGAAGGAGACTCACTGAGTGTTGAATCGGAGAGAAGTCGCAGGAGATTGGAATCGGAGAGGAGCGAGCGACAACCGCACGAGAAAGAGAACTTTACAGCTAAGAGTGCAAAAATGCAAAAAGGAAGTTGGAAAAGGGAGGACAAAATACGAAATATTTAGTCTCTGATTTGTTATTTGTTTCCACTCATTGGGAAAGCCTCTCTTTCCTTCTCTCCTCTGGTTTCGGTGTGGGTTTGACTGCGTGGCGTTATATTGTTGACGAATAAAAGTGCGTGGCGTTTTATTGTTGAAGATTGTCTTTACTTACACGTGCGTGGTGCCTCTAAAACTAGCCTACGGCCTATGTACATGTTTAGTGTTTTTTATTTGTCACAAGGTTGGTGGTGCAGCAACAGTACACATGTTAGGCACGCGATGTCTTTTCTTACTAAAGGGTTGATTGGTAGAGCATTAGCATAAGAATTATGCTCTCTATTATCCAATCAACATATTGCAAAGAAGCATTTAGAAAAGCATTTACCAAATGCAAATGATCTCCAAATGCTCTTTGCTCAATGCTCTCATATAGAGCTTTTGAGAGAGCATTTGCATATAGAAAATATAAAACTTAATAATATTTATATATAATTAATTTATTTCTCTTTAAAAATATAAACAATATTTTTATAATTAAATATAAATTTCTATTTTAAAAAATAAAATTAAAAATTATAATTAATTTTTTTTAAAGAAAAATATTTCTCATTTAAAATATAATATAATTTATATAATTACATATATCATTCATTATTTTTAATAACAAACATAACATAATATAATTTATATATTATCGATATAAACATATTATTTAGACACTAATAAATAAGTTATATATTAACTTTTATGATAATTTTATATATGAGTAATTTAGTGCTCTACCAACAAAATAAATAATAATAATTTATATATAATTATAATTAATTTATATATAAATTATAATTAATTTCTATATAAATTATAATTAATTAATTTATTGACTAATAATTAATTAAATTATAACTATAATTTTATATATGAGTAATAGGTTATATCCAGAAAAAAATAATATTTTTTAAAAAAATTAACATTTTAAATATAATTTACATAATGAAAATCAATTATTTTTAATAAAATTATATATTATTTATATATTATTTTATATATATTATTTTAAAAGAAATATATTATTTTACTAACTATTATGACAATTTTAAAATTGTATACTGCTAATGCTCTGCCAATCACTTTATTAAAAAAATTAATGAAAGCATACGGCTTCTGTAGCATACTGCTTCTGCAGCATACTGCTACTGCTTTATCATCTGCTGTACCAATCGAGGCCTAACTTATCATTATTGATTCTGTCTATTTCAAATTTCGGTTACGTTGGATTATATTTTTTAATCGCGCTAAACCAAATAAAAATTATTTCAAGTTTTCGCTAATTCTCCAAACTATTTAGTTTTTTTTATTTAGTAAAATCCTGATTAAATGTTAGTTAAACTTAAAAAATTTGGATTAAATTTGATGAGTACAATCAGTTTAGTTTGAAGTTTTTGATATAATTTAAAATAAATTGGGTATCGTTTTATTAAAAACTTATAATATTAATAAACTAATTACCAAATTAATTAACTAACAAACATATGAATCGCGTTCGTGAATCTTTCAAAATCAGCAAACAAATCCAGTACTTTGATTACAACGTTCAAAATACGACTGTGGCCCATCAGAAAACACAAAACGTCAAGCCAATTAAGCTTTGGATTTGGACCAAAATTTCGATAATTAAAACCCTCTAAACCAACTCGAAGTTCCACTCACCAGTAACCATCAGAAAACACAGAACGTTGACCTCTACAAGACTACGACAAACAAGAAATATAACTCTTTTGCAGATGAATGGGACCAACAATACAAATCAGGCTTTGTGGTCACGGTAATGAACTATGGCATCAGGTTTAAGACGACCTATGCAGATTTGGTGAACCGTTGAAAATAACGGAAACATCTCCAGCCATCCACAATGGTTCAGAGTCTCATACACCTCTCTTGCCGTGGAAACACCCTTCAATAAGCAATCAGACAAAAGATAAACAGGTTAAACAGATACAAGTAACTAAGCTTATAGGTTCCCTCTTAGGAAAATTCTGTTTATATTTGGTGTCTACCTGTAGCTTTTGCCCTTGTAGCATCTCTTCTTCAAGCTCATCAAAAGACCTGTGATGTTTAATGTTTTACACGACAAGAAAACATCAATACACTAACTAGAAGCAGTAAAAGTGATCGCCAAAATGATTAACAAAAGGTTAAACCTTTTTCCTCCGCTTTGGGCAAATGCTTCTTCAACTCTTCGGTTTCTTCCTCCTACTTTAGTGGTAAGTGAAACAATAGTCAAAAGGGAGTGTAATGGTAAGATAATTCGGGTGTTGTTCAGTCCTTACAGCAAGTTGTTATGACATCTGCTACACCGCAACTCTCAAAAAAAGTACTGTCTTTAACAGATGGAAACAGAAGCATGGAGAGTGCTTTCATCTCTCTTAGACCAATCCTCATGATTGCAGCCTAGATATGTTTATAAAATTGATTAGCTCTAAGAACGACTAAAGAAACACTTAAAAACTGCATTTGTAATTAGCTTTAGGAACTACTTAAGTCTCTTTAAAGGAAACACTAATAACTTACCTTTGTGTTATTACCCATTTCCAAACCATCAACGAAACCTGCTGCAATAGCCACTATATTCTTCAATGTCCCACACAACTCTACTCCTTCAACATCACGTACCTATTTAATACACAAGCCTCATTGTAACTGACCAAACTCTATTTGAGAAACTATTAGCTATTTCTCTAATTGACATTTGAAGAAGTATGAGAATTTCTAACCGGTGTGACCATAAAATAGGGAGTACTAAACAAATGAACCCAAGTGTCAGCTATTTCTCTACTCTCTATATATCCAACGGTTGCTTCACTAAACTTCTCCATAGCAATCTGTATTATTGTTCATGCAGTATTAGTCACAGCAAATGTGAATGCACTGGACATGTAAAGGAAAAAGGTTACAAGAAAATCGGTGTAATAACCTCGTTAGCGATGTTTGCGCCCATAAGAACACACAGTTGATACCAAGTTCTTTGGAGATGAGACTTGAGATCATACAGGGACCTTCCTTCTTCACTTCCATCCCTTTAACAAGAGATATAGCCTCAACCTCTCCTGTTATCTTTCCCTTGAGTTTCTTGCATATACTATCCATGAACTGATGCGGTGTAACAAAAACCAACATGTTTGCTTCCTTCACTGCATTAGTAGTGATTAGTGAAACCCATAAATTTCAAGAATGTAACTGGGAATCATGTAAAGGAGAAAAAGTTCACACTGACCTGCATTTTCAAGGTCGGGATCTGCAACAACATTTCTTCCTAGATTAATCCCAGGGAGGTACTTTGCATTTTCCTAATCAAGAAACCAAGAAAATAACTACAGAACCAACCATGAATCGCAATAAATCAAACAAGAGCACGATCATCCATGTTCCTTACATTTGTCTTGTTGATGACATCAGTGAGTTTCTCACCATTTGGTAGGACTTCCTCAAACACCCACATCCGCACTTCATCTGAAACGTATAGGGTTTTAGTCAAAAGATTCATCAAACTATTGTCACATTATACGACCATCTAAATTGAACAACTCTACATACATGAAAGATGTAAGGAAACTTAGTCCAAGATTTCAATTATAAACAGATAGAAGGAAACTTTCAAGATCTTGGTGTTTTGAAAACATGACATAAGATGCCATGGAAAGAAGGAAGCTTGAGGACATTAGAGGCGATGAGCTTAGCGGCTACGCTTCCCCAACTCCCACTTCCGACGACGGTAACCCTAGATTTCGAATCACGACATTCACCATTTGCCTCTTGGAGAGTATGAGACATAGCAGAGAGGTGAGAAGTAGAAGAGGGGAGGATGAAGATAGAGAAGAATCACGAACGGATTCGCATGGAAGATAGGAGTTTTGAGAGAGGCGACACGTTATAGAGAAAAAGAGGTACGTGTAGTAACGGTAATGCTTCCTACCAAATTAAATATGTTCGAGTTTATGGTTCTTCACCTAAATAAAACAATATATACAGTGTATATTAGGAAAATAATTGATAGTTCTACTCTATGAAATTTGAGGAACTAAGCTTTTACATCATTGACCCAAAAAAAATAGAAATTTAAAAAGAAAAAAAGAAAAATAGTTTCTTAATATTCACTACTTTTTTTTTGTTCAAACTCATTTTTTTTAATAATTTTTATGTTTTATTATTTTTCTAAATATTTTAATTTTTGTATAACGTGATCATACTCTCATTAAACAAACTGGAAGTATTCATATATAACCTTGAACTCTTGATGTAAAAGATTAGTAAGGGATAGAGATAGGCATCAGCGTTTCGGGTATCGGTTCGTGTATTTCGAGTTTTGGTTAGTTTGGGTAGAGAGAGTTAGAAGATCTATTTACTACTTGATTCTTTTGGATTCAGTTTCGTTCAATTTGGATAATTTTGGGTTCGGTTTAGATAGTAAAATTAGGAACTGACAAATACTCGGAATATTTCAATTAGTAAAATTAGGAATTGGAAAATACTTGGAGTATTTCGATTTGATTATTTTGGATATAGAAATATAGGAATCGTTCGGATATTTCAAAATTTTGATAGAATTTTGGTTTCGGGTATTTCGGTTTTGATCCGGTTCGATTTCAGGTATTTCATTACCAGAGAGCTTGCGATTTGGTAGACTTTGTTTTGCCATCTTGTTTGGTGTCTTGTTTCCTTTCTCTTCTGCACTTTCAAGTAAATCTGATTTCTTTATTGTTTTCACCATTTAGCTTCCTTCATCAAATTGTAAACATGTGCAAAAAATTACTAAGCAAAAGAATTCATTTATATAAATAAAATAAACTTATATAATACATAAATAACAATGTCCAGCTCCTTTTTATCGTCCATTAGCATCACATGTACACCACCCATCTTGCTTTACTTGGTGTGTTCACATCAACAAAATATCCATATATGTTACATTTTTCCCATACTTCGTTAACCATTTCCATGAATTATTAAGAGTCCCATTCGATGTTCTAAAAATCGCTAGGTGGAAACTAAGCGTTCTATAGAGGACTAGCGCCTAGGCAAATTATTCGAGGTCTAGGCGGGAATTAGGCGTTAACGAATTATTGATTTATTATATATATATTTTACATTTATATAAGCGATTTAAGTTTTTTGGTTTAATTATAATTTTATTTTAATAAATTATCAAAATCCGTTATACAAAATAAAATAAATTGCACAAACTTGTAATTATTTCCTAAATTATTACTGAATTTAAAAAAATTATACTAATTTAAACTAAATATACCTGTTTTAGAGCAATTTAAACCGATTTAACATGGTTTAAACTGACTTGAATAGTATAAATCGGATTTTAAGAAAATCGTTTCGGTAAGAGGGATTTGCCGCCTAGACGGACGCCTAGTCGGCGCCTAGACCGATTTTTAGAACATTGGTCCCATTATGTATCAAATTCTTTCCATTCTTTTGCATCATTACAAGCCTATTAGAGTAGGTTTACATTGATCATTATTTTTATAGGTACAACAAATTTGAACCTTTCATATTAGCTTCCCAAGCAGATCAAGTTTGCTTCATTCCATACCTTCAGATTACTATCTCGGGAATAAACTGGTTAGCTATTGTCAAAGTTACACCTCAAGGACGAATAATCGCTGGAGAAGAACCACCATTACAAGAAGAAAACACCAATAAGATCGAGGAACCTGAAGCAGAAATTGATGACAGCCTACTCATTGATCCGCATAATCGTGAATACGAAGATGTTCCTGATCACTCAACGAACGAAGATGTAGAGGACGAGTTTTTAGAAAAATGATGATGTTTCAACAGATTACGAGAATGTATCCTAATGAATTATGTATGTTTATAAGTTTGTTTAATCACAAAAATGAATTTGGATTATATATGTTTTAAGTTTGTTTAATCACAAAATTAATTTTCATTTGGGGTTTATGTGTAGAAGAGGTTAGGAGTTTGGTTGTAGAAGAGGTTATAAGTTAAGGAAATTGTGGTTTGGGGTTTGGGGTTTGGGGTTTCGAGTTTAGGGATTTACAAACCCTTTCCTCGTAATGTCCTAGTAACAGAAAACGCGGGCATAGCTGTTTCCTCGTAAAGTCCTAGTATTACTAGGACTTTACGAGGAAAAAAACGTGGGCATAGCTATTTCCTCGTAAAGCAGTTTCCTCGTAAATTCCTAGTAATGGTATTACTAGGACTTTACGAGTAAATAAAAACACGGGCATAGCTATTTCCTCGTAAAGGCCTAGTATCGAGGAAACAAATTCCTTATATAAACTCGAGCAATCCGATTTCTCATTTGTAGTAAACTTCTCTCTGAATTCTCTTAAGGTTCTCTCTATTTCCTAGTTAGGTGATTAGATTAGGGAATTTAGATTAGGTGGTTAGTTTAGGGAATTTAGATTAGGTGGTTAGTTTAGGTAATTTAGATTAGGTTGGTTTACTTTTTTTACTGTTTTGTTAAATTATACGGGAATTAATGTTTTGTTTTTATTAAAAAAAAATTTATATGGTCAGACAGAGCAAGATTGCTAAGCTAAGAGGCCTCTTCGGGGGAGTCACTACGGAGATCTTTTCGGGCGTCAATCTGGTTCCGGTTCATCTTCGTCAACTCCCGGTTCATCTTCGATTCCAGATCCTGATGCTTTTCCCGTGACTCAGGGAGTTTCTATGACATCCCGGTATGAGCAACCACCTCCTCCTCCACCTCCTCCTCCTCATCCTCCACCGGTCGGGGTTCATCCAATTTGCAGGTGCCGCCGAACGCACCATTTGCGGTGTACACGGTGGAGGATATTCTGGCCCTTCCAAGTAGAGAAGGGCTGCCAGAGTTAGATCCTACCCGACGGGACGGCCACAACATATTATGGTATGTTTTAATTTTTTAAAAAAATTTTAATTTATTTCTTAATTAACAAAATATTTACAAATTAATCTTTCCACGTTTGGTCTTGACGGATGTGTCGCTCAGATCGTCATGGACTGTATGAAGGGATACTTTTCCGATGAAGCTCCAAACTGGAAGAAGACGCCGAGCCACACAAAAAAGACGTGGTTCAAGTCGTTCGCTGTAAGTTTAATTAATCAACTTAATTTATTTTTAATTATTTAAAATTATTAATATTATTGAACTAATCCGTCTCTTATTTTTTCTGGTTACAGCAAAAATATCGTTGGTCTATAGGGATTCACCAGCGGGTGAAGACGGAGTTTGAGGGAAGGCAATAGCACGATTGCTCGACATGGTCTACAACTGGAAGTCCGACTTTCAGGTCTGGAATTATAAACTATATATATATATATATATATATATAGTTTTAATTAAATCATTTATTGACTTTAATTCTAATTATTTTTTGTCCAGGTGGATGGTTACGAGGATGGGAAACCCGATTGCCTCACAACCGACATGTGGGATGGCCTCATCAGATATTGGGGGTTGTCGGACTCAGTCAGAACCTCCCACACAAACTCCTGGAACCGCATGACCAAAGACGAGCATGGCAACACGAAGATGCTTCACACCACGGGTCGAAAACCTCACGGGGGAGTTCGTCTAGACATGGTAAGATGATTTTTAAAAACTATTTAATTTTTACTCTATTTGAATATTCCAAATTAATATTTAATTTTAACAATTATTTTTAGGCTAAAGAGACAGGAGTTCTTCCATCTCTGAAAGACCTTTACGAGAGGACCCACCGGAACAAGGCTGGGCAGTTTGTAGATCCTGCTTCCGAGCGGATCTACAACGAGGTTGTTGCCCGAGTTGACGAACGCCAGACCCAACTGACTCAGCAGACTGGGACAGTCATATTATCCATTCTTGAAGTGGATAAGATTTACGAGGAGGTAAATAATTTGTTTTACTATTAATTTTTAATATTTTTTTAAATTTTTTCTTAACGTTATTAATATTTTTATTTACAGGTCGCCCCTAAGAAAAAGGGGCGTATCGTCGAGATTAGCTCGGTTAACGATGTCCCCACAAAGACATCGTCTTATGCTCAGGAACAGCACGATGTCAATGCTCAGCTGCGCTTTGAGTTGTAGGGGACGCAGTCTCATGTGAGTTCGCTCACCGAGCATGTGAGTTCTCTCACCGATGTCCTCGACATTTTGGCGGTTGGAAACCCGCAATTGGCGGAGATGTTGCATCAGAGACGGGAAAGCGGAGGGATTCCAACCCAACAGCCTCCACCATCACAGTCACAGCCGGCAACCAACTTTGGAGAGGAGAAGGATTTGGCGAGTCGGGACGATTTCGTTCGGCAATTTAACGAGCAACATCCGTAGATTTTTTTTTATTTTTAATTGTACATTATGAATTTTAAAACTTAATTGTATATTATTTAGTCATTTATAAAATATTTTGTTTTTTTTATTTTTTATTTATAATTTGTTTTTTTTTTTATTTTTAAAAAATATATTATTAATATTTACAATTAATATTTTTTTAATAAGGAAAAAAAATAATTCGAAACAAAATCCTCGTAAAAGTTTCGAAGTAATGTCCTCGTAAATTTTTCTAGTAAGTTCCTCATATGTATTACTACGAGTTTACGAGGAAATCATTTACTATGACATTACGAGGAAACCCTACGAAGACCTTACGAAGAAAAGCTAACCATGCCTTTACGAGGAAAAGTTTCCTCGTAAATTAAGTAGGACCTTACGATGAAAAAGACTTTACGATGAACGTGTTTCGACGAAACGTGTTTCCTCGTAAGTTCCTAGTAAATGGTCATTTACTATGAAATAACGAGGAAAACTCGTCCTAGTAATGGACGAGTTTTCTTGTAATGTCAGTGAAACTGTTTCTGTTGATAAATGAGAATATTCTGTTTTGTCCACAGTATTCAAAGAAACCATATTGGTAAATCTTGAAAATGTAAGCCAATGTTCAAAAAAAAAAAAAAATCTTGAAAATGTGTCAATCTCACTTAAGAGATGCACGATAGACACACTTCAGGGTTTTCCTCCAAAGTTGTCGTTGGACTATTTATTATTGTGTTTAAAATTCGAAACGCCCTTCAAATGGTTTGTGCATAGATACAATCACAAAGTATGTGATTTTATGTTTCATCAGCCACACAACATCTCTTACATTGAGCCTCATTGGTGATATTCCTTCTCTTTAGGTTAGAACCCGTTAATAAACAATCATAAAACTTTCTTACTTGTTATTTGACTTGACAAAGAGAAATGCAAGATTTTTCAAGGTGAGTACGAAGCAAATAACAAGTACAAGCTAAATAGCAAATAATCCTGCCCAGCTCTAATTAGAACCTCTCATTTCACATGGCAACACTTGACTGCTTTAATTATATACTTCAATTTTAAATTTAATTGTTTAACTAAGATTTATTGATATTTCAGAGATTTAACCATAAATTAAATATTTCAAATAGACAGCAAATTCAGTAGTGACATGGGATTGGATCAACAAAGACCAAATAGACACTTCAATTTTTAATTTAGATTAAACTAGAAGACAATAAAATTGTTGTTGTTTGGAAATCTAATTAAATAAAACCAGGAAAATAAAAAATGATATGAGTGGTGTAAGAAAGGTCCTAGGCATCAGAGAATTTGTAATAAATCAGATTATGAATATAGACAATTTATCAAAGAATTAGTTTGGCATCATTATAGAACTCAAAACACGAAGGTATAATCTTTACTCTCTCGTCATTCCAATTACTATGTCTAACAACTTAGATAAGTAATCCTATTTGAGCCTAAATGATTAAAAAATGGATTAAGTTGTTTTGATAGGTTTAGAAAGCATAATATCATCAACTCTCACAGGGTAAAGACAATTTACTCACATGGATTATTTTCAAGAAATCAAATCAACTCTCGTCGCATTCAGTTAACATAAGATCATGAAGTAGGTGACTAATCAAGTCCAAACAATAAGAACAAACCAAGTGCAAACTTCTAATGAAGATTCCCTAACAAAACATTCATTTATCATTTCTTATGAACACTAAAACTTAACTTGAAACTACTAATACATAATAGGGGTTCAAAAAGATGCTTTTGTCTCTAGAGACCTCCTAAGACGCGGAATATCCGGGAACTCTGCTCATAAAAATGAAATACTTTTTTTTTTATTCAGGATATCTTAGGAGGCGTGACGCAACCGACTAATCCATGGGGGCTGACTACCGGCGTTAGATAGATCCGGTTGCTCGCAAAGGGGATTTACTACCCCTATTGTCTGGCCACACGAATGGGTAAACCTGAGTTAGTGAGGATTCAAACTCAGGTGCCTTAGAGACACTGAGACGTCATCCGTTATCCGATCACATACGTGTGGTTAAGATGAAATATTTCTGAGTAATGTTTTCAACATCTGAGATACCATTCGTCTTAAAAGCATTATAAACAAAAATTTGGATATTTAAGTTGAAAAGCTTACGATGAAGTTGCTTGTAAATGTAGCGCACAAAAATTGAAAGTCTTGCTATGTTCCCCACTACCCAATACACAAATGAATTTGGATCAAAAGTGAACTCGAACTCAAAAGGAAACGAATTTACGCATGAATTATCGCCCAGCTATTTGACCACCACTTACATGCGTACTCTCTTTTATAAGTAAATTTGCATATACATACGTTTTTGTGCATATCTGTTGGCATACTTGTCTCACAAGATATAGAGTTGATCCTCTCGTTATATTTCTTACATGTTCATAACCTCCGTACGGATATAAATAGAACTATTAGTTTTTTTTTCTCCGCCAATTTGACAATCTCTACCTGTACTCCGTTTGACGTTACTGCTTTAATGAACTCACAATTCAGAGTTGTCAGTTAACAAGAAAATCAAACTAATAAACGCTAAAAATATGAATGAACGATATTCCAAAAACTGCAAAAACAGTATACAAAAGGGGCAGTTTTTAATTCAAACTAACAAAACGAACACCAGGTTTCAATTACCAACCCATCTCCTAATAGTTTTTATAAATTCCCACTTTATTCTCCCTTTCTTTTTCATTCATCTTCCTCCTCTCTCAGTCGATTTCTCTCAATCTCGTAGAGAAACCTTACGTACATACTAAATCACAGAGGGCTGCATCAAATTTGTTTTTAGATTTTTCGTCTACACGTCCACAGAGAAAGAAAAAATAACAAAACTATAGTACTTAAGCTTATATACATATGGCTCGACTTTTCGCTTCCGTATTCCTTCTCCTAGGTTTTGCTTTAGCCGGTGTAAGTTACGCCGCAGATTCATCTTCACCTTCTCCACCGACGATGACGACATCAAACACCACTGTAAAATCTCCCCCAGTGCTTCCCATCGTGAAAAACTCAACGGACGCTACAGATTACACCGATTACGAAGTCCCTCTAGATCTTGCGCCGGGAGGAGTCGAAGTCGTGGACGATTACGCGCCGTTCAATACTGGTAGAGGACCTGATGAGCTTGCGCAACCTGAGGAGGATTTAAAAAGTAAGGGAAGTGAGCCTAAGAACTCGGCCTCTTCTTCTTTTTCTTCTTCTTCCTACGTTGTCTTTGTTGGTGCTGCTGGATTGTTTTTGTTTTGATGCTTGGAAACGATGTCGTTTTTGTTTCACTATACGCTAATTGTATGCATGCAACGTAAATTTGAATTTGTCTTTACATCTTGATCCGCATTCCGATAGTCCGTTTCGGGAAACCTAATAAATACTAAACTGTTATTTCGAGCTGAATACCTAAAAACAAATTCAATACTATTAACTAGGTTAAGATCTATGCTTTAGGCAGAGAGTGTAAATTGTATACACAAATTACTTTATATATTACTAGGATAAACCCGCCCTACGGGCGGACAAACAAATAAATTAATAATATAAATTATTTTAAATATTTATTTTATTTTAAATAAAAAAGCATTAACTTTCATAGTATTTTCATAACAATTTTAAATTTATTTTACTATTCATAGTAGAGATTATATATCTATCTAATTATTATATAATTTTTAAATATAATTATTTTACTTTGTTTTAAGTGAATTGCATATTCTACACACAACTTTTTTTCCTAACTAAATCAATACCCTAAATCCCACACCATAGTGCCTTTGTTGATAGACACCAAACATGTCTCATCATAGATAATTTGCTAATTTCAGCATTCTTTTTGAATTTTAAGCCAATTTATCCGTTTTAATGTTTATTTTAATCTAGCGATTAAAAATTACAGTCGATTGGGTTTAGTGGAATTATAAATAAAAATTAGACTAAAGTTATTTTCTATCTTGTTGCTACATTTATTTCATGAAATAAAGTGTTTATTATTTTAAAAGAGATATTTAAAAAGAAAAATTAATGCTTTATATGATGCAAAAAATAACTTATTCATTAAAATTAAAAAATTATTATAAAATAGATAAATATATAACATGAAACTATCGTTACTATTTGTACCTATATATACATGTTTGTTAGATTCTTATATGTATTATTATATATGAAAATGAAGCTTACAATTTGTGTAAATTTTATTCTGAATGTTTGTTATTGAATATCACTGTTTGTATTGTAAATAAACTCTTGAAGAGGCTACTTAATTACTTAAGTCTACGCTCTTGTTCTATCAAATGCAAGCCCTAGTTTTGGAGATGCGGAGATTTTGTTATATATGGGAATGTATTTTCACTTTTGAAGTTTAAGCTATATTGTTTAATAATGTGTAGTTGTATTGTCAATATTTTACATTTAGGCCACATATCCCAACTGTTTGCCTACTATTTTTTTGTGGACGTAATCTCCTTAATGTGGGAGTTGGATTATACATTTCTGAGAATTATGCCATTACATAGTATGTTTTCATATAGTTTTCTTCTCTTTCTTTTAAGGTTCATGTTCTATTTGTTGTTATTCATTATACATATGTATATATTTATAGTTCTAATTTTTTAAATGTTTGTAAGAGAAATTCACAATAAGAATCTACTAAATGAAGAAGTAAGCTTAACTTGCTTTAAAATATTTTTTGCATGTATCATTATCTCATGGAACTCAAGGCTACAATTTTCTTAAATGGTTTTAGCCAGCACTAAACGTGTACTCGTACTTTAAATGCATGGAAACCCCAACGCATCATACCGTTGGCATAATTTGATATTTAACGCAATTTGAATGTTCTATCAGGAGTTTAGCACACTTTGCCATATTTTTGTTCGATTATAAGTTTGATATAAATAAATTCTATAATCAAACTTTCAAATGAAAAAAGGTTGTGATACGTTATTGTTCATGGTGGTTCCCAAAGGATATAACATGGTGGTCAACTTAAGTATGGCTAAGAAACTCTTATGCCTCAGTTCTTAATAATTGAATGGTTAATCAAATATGCTTATATTGAAAGACTAAACACAGACAGGACACGATGATAAATTTTTATTTTAAAAATGGCTGCTAACTGCTAAAGCATTATTTAGCAAGCAAAAGTTGTGGTCAAATAAAGCATCTGCATGGAGCTAAACCATTCGTGCTTTCTTAAGTGCATTCTCACTATTTGGTAGCAGAGTGTTGGAGGAAAAGAAGCCACCCACGTTTGGAACACTTTATATTGACCTTCACCACCAACAGCCCGGAAAGTGGAGTTGTTTAGGTTTAAGCTCAAAGCCTCAGTCCCTACAACTCCAAAGTACACAGGATATCAGAGCGCAGAGACAACGGCTGCGAACAACATGTAAAAAAGTTAACTATAGCATCACATTAAGAAAATTTTGGGAATAAAAAAAGGCATACTATCAAATCTTGGTGTCGATCATCATCTCAAAACAGCGGCTATGAGAGTAATAAAACAGAGTACTGGTTCTCATTTTACCTTCTAAACATAAGAAAAAATCTTTGGTTATGATGTGTATAAGGATTTTACAGCCTTAATAAATGTTATATACAGTAAAAGTTGAACAGTTTGTAATAACATAAGTCACATAATCAAACTAAAAAGAGCCGCCCACAACATATGAGTAAAGTGACTGAAGCCGTACCTTAGTGTTGGCATGCACAACCTACTGAAAAGTTTATAAAGTAACAATGAGTTAGATCTGTGTTGAATGCTCATGACAGCATGGTCAGTAAAGTATTGTTCTGATTCAATTCACGGAACTTCCCTCCATCTAGATTCCTGCTCATCTGTCCAAAAAATCATATTCTCATGATCAAAATGTTTTCTTAAGATTAATCTATGCCATGCATACATATATGTAATATTTGTAGTCATGCCTTATTTAAAGCTAATATAGGAGGGAGTAACTGTAGGGGCATCATCACCGGCAGGCCTGACCTCTTGCAAGTCTTTGTAGTTCAACAATGACCTCAGCCAAGACCCTGAGATCTCCATGGTTAGATGATTCAAAGTTTCTCTAACCACTTTTTCCTTCGTGTTCACCGCACACACAAACTCAATCACTGCATTCTATAGGATTTTGAAAGGAAGAACCAAAAACGCCACTCAATAAATAGATCACTGCCAAAACATACCCAGAGAGATCTATATAAAATGCTCATCATCCCCCATAAAACAAAACCTAAGTAAATACAGAAACATAATTGCACTCCGTATGAAATGAATATCAAACCAGAAACATGAATTGAGATGAAAAGAAACTGGACAAACCTTAGCATCAAGGAGCAGAACCACAGCGTTTCAAGTTTCTAGCTTCCCAAAAACGGAGCAATCAGACTTGAATAGTGGAGGAGGAGCTAGCGCCCGCCTGCAAATCAGAGAGGAAGAAGCCAAAACGTTAGCCATATCCCACAGTTTTAGTTTACTGGTTAGCTTAGAAGAATGAGAGGATGATTCTAAATGTAGAAATCATACCTTTTTATAGATTAACATCCACCGCCTTACATAATTAAAAAAGTCGATTTCTATGTAGATCGTGTGTAAGAGATTAGTGGAGGGTTTTAACATATTTCGTACTCTAAAGAAGAATATGAAAGAGCGATTGCAGAAAATTAATCGACAGGGATTCTGGAGAGGCGAAGAAGAAGAAGAAGAAGAGGGGTTAACCCTAATTGAAACGCATCACTTCATATATGCGTAAACGACGAAGGCCAGATATGACGAAAAGCCCAATCAAATTGCACGTAGGACTTAATGAAACGCAGCGGATCGATTAAATAGGACACGTGGCATGATGTGGTTCACCTATTTGATGACGTGGCTTGAGCAAGAGTGAGTGAAGTATACTTTACATATATAGATAGATTATTTATACTATTTTCTTTTACATATTATAATATATATATATATATATACTAATTAAATAACTGAAAATTAATAAATAGTATATAATTAAATTAGCATGCTCACATAAATAAAAATATCACACTTGTTTTTTTTTTTGTAACAACGAAATATCACACTTGTTTATTTACAATCACTTTATATAAGTACATATAGAAAATAAATTATATTAACAGAGATATATATATATATATAGTATTTATTTTATTTTTTTGGTCAAATATATATATATAGTATATTTTTAATTTGTATATATATTAAAATGAAGTTTTATACTTATATGATTTTATGATCATTTCTATATTAACAAACATTTTAAACCATTGATAACATAATATTTAATATGAGACTTTTAATATTTATAGTAATTCATAATCATTTTAAAAAATTTAGTTCAAAGTTTGAAACTAAAGTATTAAGTTCTCAATACTTTTTCAATGTAATTTTGAAATTAAAACTTTTATATATTTTTAGATGGTATATAGTTTAATTTTAATGTCATTAGAAAGTTATAATATATATATATATATATATATATATATATATATATATATATATTCTGAATATCTATTAAATGATATTTTCTACTCATTGATTGTATAATCGTTTGTATCTTGTTATAAAATACATTATTAATCACAAAAAATCTATGTTAAATTTTAAAGGTTTTATTAATTTAGAGTCATTTTTAAAAATTTAAAATATAACATATTTGAGAAAATCTAATTTTTGTATTATATAGTTACTGTGATTGTTTAATTTATTTTTATAATATAAATTTAAACAAAAGAATAGAGGGTACATATGTTTTTATCAAAAAATTTTATTCAAATCATTACTTGTCATATATATATGAATCATATTAGATAATTCTGTAGTTTTTATTTAAGGAAAGAATGAAGAGCATTAATGGGTTATAATTTAATAAAAAAGTATATTATATGTTTATAAGGACCAACATTTTTTTCTAAAAACTTTGAGAAGTATTCTAGTGATGAACGTGTCATAGCTAAAAGATTGTAATTTTTTTTTAATATATAAGGGATTAACTTTGGTTAGAGAACGAAGAGATATTTCAAGGAGAATGAGGTTAGTAATTAAATGGTACTAGCCTAAGAGCACCCCCAATAGGAGAGAATTCTAACTCAGGATTCTCAGAATATATATGTATGGTTTATGTATATCTTAATATTATTATTTACATATGAGACTTTTGACTTTACATGAAACCCAATAAAAAATATCTCAAAACATATATATTTTATGTTGAATTTTCCGTAAAGTTAAATTTCATAATTAAATAATAATATTAAATATATATATAATATATACATATGTATTTTATTATTAAATACTAGAACCTCCTATTGGAGGTGCTCTAAGACGTTTCAATTTTTGAAAGAGATTTTGAAAGAGATTTGATATAGGTCTAGGCTAAGAATTACAACATGTTAAAAAATTTTAATACAAATTTGCAAACTGAAAGTTAACAAACTTGTGCTATAAAAAACATGATTGAAATTAAATATTCAACATATACATAATCACTAGTAAATTAATTTAAAAACCATAAAAACCTCAAAATAGAGTTAGTGGTGGACCTAGTATTTTTTATTGGGGTGTTAGACTAAATTAAGTGTTGGTCAAAAATTAGAAATAATAAATAATATTTTATGAAAATATAATAAAAAAATAACTCAAGAAAATGATGAATTTTGGGATTCTAACCTAAGGCTAAGGGGTATCAAACTTTGACTAATAACCAAAAGAGCTAAGAGCATCAACATCCATCCAGAGAGTGTAAACTTTTCTCAAAGTTATAATATTAATAATTTCTATGCAAATTAATTGTTGAATTATTATTAAAAAATTTAAGTGACGGTTGTATAATAAGCTTGTGACACTTGTAAAACAAATAGATGGAGGGTATCATTACAGAGGGACGCCTTTTTCTCCTCTCTCGTCATTTTTTCATTTCTTTCTTGGTTGTCAAATTTTCATATATTTTACACAGTAGAGATTCAACGAGGGACTTACGATGCGGATTCTCTAAACTTGTTTGCTGGTTATGACTTGCAAATTTGCTTTTATAGTTTAACCTATGTGAGGTGAGACACCTATTTAACATGTGGGTCCATCTTTGAACAGAATGTACCTTAAAATTGTATAAGAGGTTTTCGGATTACCTTAACAGTATAAGGTTTCTTTTGGTTCATTTAGATTTGGGGTCAAATAAGATTATTTTACATATTATAACATCCTAGCTAAGATCCATTCCTCTTTTTTTTTTTACATAAATAAAAAGGTGAAATTGTCTAACTATTGTCATTTGACCACTCAAATAGAAAAATGAACCTTAACCTCAACCTCTAAGATACCAATATACTCAAATACAAAACCGTTATACCAGTACTACTACTACTTACTTAACTTTATTTCATTGAAATATTTATGAGAGAATTAGCGCAATACCCATAAACCAAGCCATATTAGGCGATTTCCCTTAATTTGACGTTTTCGGCCCAAACAATACAATTTGACATAGAAATGCCGAGTAAGCCCCTCCTTGCGTGAGTAGACTTCCGGCGCTTGTGTCAGCCGGCTGACACAAAAATCTACACGTCGAATCGTAGGTTACTATTCCTAAACTTACCATGACAGCTACGAGGCTTCTCCTCCACTCGTTATCTCCGTTACTCGTGCTATTAGTTTATGCTCTACCATCGATACGGCCTCGAGAATGATGATTGTATGAAATACCGAGATAATTTGAAGATAAAAGTCCTTATAGAGTGCAAAACCTTTTGTTAACAAGAAGAGAGAAGTTTGTAGGAGATAAAGGGAGAGAACGAAAGGTGTGATTCAGGGTTAGAAGAGCAAAGACTGGAGACACAGAAATCATTGTCACTCGGGGTATATGGTAAAATTAACGATCATTGGTAGCATTGTATCCTTTGATATATACTTGTGAAGATGTAACGGGTGAACTTGTCGTTAACAGGTACAGATTTGAAGATGAGTCATCTGGTTCGACTTGTTGTGGAAGACTGGGAAAGAGGCGCTTAAAGTGCATGGAAGTTTGACGTCGACAATACCATGGTGAAACACGAGGTGTTGCTGAAAGAAAATGAAAGCTATGTTTCCCTCATGGGGATGGTGAGAGAGATATACAAGCTACAACAACTTTTGCGGCCAACTGAGCATGTGCTACTGATGTACGATTTTTCAGACATATCTAGAGAGGCAAACGAATACTCACCCCCACCTGCTGAAAGAAAAGAGGATGGGGATGTGGAGTTGTTCATGGCCGTCAGAGTGGACCATGTCTGGCTTGATATGTATGTCACATTCGGGGAAGAGGGTGTGGACCGCTACAGGTTACAGAGGGACGAGGAAGATGGGGTTAATGCCTCGCAACAGCCATTGATTGGTGAGGGATTTGTTCGACTTTAAGGTATAACTAATTTGGTGACAGTTAAATTTAGTTTTAAAGGGTAAACATGATTGTAACAGTTAAGCTACACTATTTGAATGAACACATATCTAAGAGAAAGGGGTTACATGGTGGTGTACGAGGAGATACTAAGAGGCATATGCACTCCAAGTGAGCTTGCCATACTTGAGCAAACTTTGTTTGGGTTTGAAGGGTACCAAGAACCTCTAACCGAAACAATGCATATCAACATCGAGTCATCTGAGGACTCCTCTGAGCTACCACTAACCCAGGCTTGTGAAGTATTAGCTGGAGGGGGTACAACGGTGACAGAGGGTCCTAACTTAGGAGGCCAAGCCACATAATTAGCTGTTAGGTTAAGTAAGTTGAGCAAGGTTGTGTTATAGCTTTAATGTGACAGGAAAATATTTGTAAAAACAATTTATTGTTTGGTCGTTTCAGCAATAGTGGGAACTGCTCAAGGGGAGGTAATGCTTGACAAAGGAAAAGGTATAATGCTTGAGGATGAGACTGCTGGAAAGTGTAGCAGAATGAGTGGGCTTGATGGTAATTTACTTGGGAGGGAATATGCTGCAGAGGAAACCGGGATGATAGAGGGTATGGGTAAGTAAATGCAAGTTTTGAATTCACCTGAAGCTACGTTACGTTTTCCAAGCAACAATCTACATGATTTGGCGTGAAAGAAACTGCCGCAGACATGGTGAGAAGCCCCGATCTCTTGAAGCTCTCTTTACCATGATTGACAGACTGGTCAAGAACAGAATTATGTCCATTAGAGCACAAGACATGAGACTTGATTGTGCTTTCCAACTATGGATTGAAGCCGTATAAGTTTCATTTTCCCCTTAAGTATTGCTTACAACTTTATTATGCTAAAGTGGCTCTTGCTGCAAAAAATTACATTTTTCTTTGAATCAAATTTAACATTTTATTCAAAAAAAAAAAGTAAATGCAAGTTAGGCGGAGTAGGTTATGTTTGTGTTCGCGTTGAAACCTTATACTATATTTTTAATGTTAGCCGCTAAAAATGTCTATGTAGGTACTGGTT